TTCCGCTGGTAGGGTAGCGGCCGCGAGAGGCGGCCAGACACGCGGGAAGTCGGCGAGGAGAGCACACGGACGAGAGAAGCACGTGCGCCGATCTCGCGAGAGAGAGCTCGGCGAGGATCGACCGGCGCGGCGCCGTCCGCGTCGCGCCGCGTCGTATCGCGCCCGTTTCGAGCAGGGTCACTGGAACGTGCTTGTGTACGAACTGTCTGCAACTGTCATTCACCTCGCGGTACACCACGCGTATGTGTGTGTATGTGTGCATGCACCGGGGGAGATATTCCCGTCCGTCCCTTATCCGCGTACGCGACAAAACGCGAGAGATAGAGGGACGCGAAGACGAAGAACTCGGGAAACTTGTCGCGCTGAGAAGTTGAGATTTTTATCACGCGCGGAACACGCGCGATGTAAATGCCAAGGATATGCTTCCCGATCCGAGATCGCGCCGGATCTCGCGCGTGGATCTCGTCAGACCGATGCGGACTGCTCGATACGCGTATTACCAATACGTATTGAAGTTTCGAACCGATTCGAACGGAGTTCGAGATGAATCGCGTATTGCTGCGCAATCTACCTATCGATGTCGCGATAAGTAGCGGCAATCGGGGACAGTATTCGCAACGACGGAAAGCACCAGAGACTCAGAGACAGATATAGTTACGTTTCCTCCGCAGCTTTGCTACTTCTTTTTTTTTCCCACAAGGGCGAACAAAGTTCGAGTTCAGGCCGCGGGTCGATAATGTTTATCGAAACTAGGTATAATGCGAGCCTACAGTAACCCCGACTAAGAAGCTTAGTCTTTCGTGGCGAGCGATTCGTTATATATATTGAGAAAGCCGCATTAAGCCGTCTGTACGAATTGTTCGCGTTATCCCCGCGCGTTATATCCCAGCTCGCGCAAAAAAAAAAATCATTCTCGTAATAAATGAGCGAACGGGGAATCGCGTCGTCGAAATGCTCGCGTCGATTCGTGTGTCACTCCACGAACGCTTTATCGCGACGTAATCGTCGAGGTCGAGGGGGACGGCTGACGCATCGACCGTCGGTCGCCTCCGGCGACTTCCCTCGCGTCTCCGAAGCGCGTAAAAGGCGATCGTCGTGCTGACCCCGAATCGCGGGTTATCGAGTCGCGCCTCCACGCGCGACGGCGGGCGCCTCGTCGGCAGGCAGACACGCATTCGAGACGTTTTGCCGCGCTTCGCGTCGACGACTCGGTACGTGGAGCAAGCCTCGTTGCTCAATCGTGCTATATTCCCAATGCGGCCTTGAACGATCTGCGGCGAGATCAGATGCGGCATCGCCGGGCCACCGAAGCGGAAGCTGCACACTATCGCAAAGCGAGACGCGTTGATCGATCATACTTTCTTCGACTCTTGTAGATTCTCTGTCCATCGGATGGATATATGTCATGTTCGAATCACATGATCGTTTCTTACGAGGAAAGGCCCAGAACTGAACTCCGTCGATTTCGATGGAGCTTGGCAGGGAACGGAGAGAGTTCCCCGAATGTAATGATACTCCTATTTGGGTGCAGACGGTCAACCGTTTCCGAGATATTTTAATAATAAATTTAGTGGCGTCTTTAGTAGAGTTTCTTAGGGCATTCACATACGAGTATTTATGGCATAGTGATGGACATGGTAACTGCCTCATAATTTGTTTAACAATAATTAGGAACGTAATCTATAATTTGCAACAAAATTCTAAACGCAAATGGAAATCTTTTTTAATATGCATGTTTTATTTCGTTCAATACTTCGTTTTTCAAATGTAATTTTTCACCAGAGAGTGTATCCATCTCTCACGCAAGCGTTACGATCTATAATTTACAACAAAATTCCAAACGCAGCGAATAAAAATCTTTTTTAATACTTCGTTTTTCGAATGTAATAATAATTTTCCACCCGAGAGTGTATCCGTCTTGCGTTCTACGAATGGTCATAAAAATCGTGGCGCAATACTTTATAATTACGCCTTAGCGACGTAACTTCCGCCACGGTAATTCCTCCAAATTTCCCAGGCAGTGAGGTAGGTCGGTATAATCTTCCGTAGCGCCGTGGTTCTATACTAACGGCACACGGAAGGAGCGAAGAACCATAACAGCGCGACAGAGTAATGCCTCGACGCGAACGGCGCGCACACACGCGCGCGTTGCGCAGGAAAAAGAACGCGCACGTCTCCTAGTCTCCTCGCGTACACGGCAATTCCTGCATATTTTTCGATAATTTTACTCGCGAGCGGGCTGACTAAATCTTTCAGGAGGAGCTGCAACATTGAGTTTCCGCAATTCAACATGAAAGCACTTGAGTGCGTCGCCATCGGAATCTTACGAGTCTTTTTTTCATCGTGATAAAACCTCACCAAGCAGAATCAGCGCGTAGCTTAAAGAAATCTTCTCGAGGAAAGATTTTAAATGGCTTTTACTTAAAATACAAAATTTTACAATTTCACGAGCGTAATTCTAAAGGTAGCTAGATCGATTCAGTTGTCTCTATAAAGTACTTAACGTATGACGCACACGATGATATTCGAATTCTTTTAGGCCCCGGACACACACTTTTTCGTAACAGTAACAGTAGGATTTCGACCAATCGTGTTACTCGATTCGGGAACGTACGGCCGTACGTTTTCGAATCGAGCAACGCGATTGGTCGAAATTCTACTGTTACTGTTACGAAAAAGTGTGTGTGGTCAGCTTTATTGCAATAAGTGTCGGTGTATACTTTTTACGAGTCATTTTTCGGTTCTTATATTTTCGAGGAGAAACATTTTCCCGCAAGACAATGTCATCTTCACGCCGGTATCACCGGCTGCACAGCCTCGTAAATTTCGGGAGTAGCGGAGCCTCCTGGCGTTGCATCGTCGCTTGATAGAATGACGTACCGTCCAGCCGCCATAACTTCCGCGACCGGTCGACCCCCGCTGTCGACGTTCCTGGGACATGGGGGGTGTAGGAAGCAAGAGAGCGGGAGCGAGCGAAAGAGCGGAGAGGAGCCGCATGGAGGAGAAAAACGAGGAGGAGGAAAACGAGAGGAGGACGAGAAGGAGGAGGAGGGCGAGCGAGGACGGGCAGGGTGAACCCCTTATTGATTTTTAGGGTGACAGTGTCAACCGGCGGCGAGTGTCGAGTCCCCCGCGACGGGCGACTTTCAAACGACGGCGAGCGAGGGAAACAAAAGAAAAAAAAAATGCGCCGGCCGGCAGCGCGTCGTTGCACGCTCGCCTAGAGAAAAGTCTCTCGATCGCCAATCGCGGCGGGCAAGGGCTACGACGCGGTCCTCCGTCGTCGATGTTCGGTTAGCCGACAACGACAACGACGGAGGACGACGCTAAACCGTCTGCCTTAGTTGGTACGCGCGCCGGGCGAGGCCGTGCAACGTTTTTTCGCCGCGCGTCGCGGCGGTTGGCGGCGGCGACGACGACGACGACGACGGCGGCGGCGGCGGCGGCTGCGGCGACGCCGACGGGAGGAAAGAGTAACCGCGGCGCAGTCCCGTTGCGGTCGGGGGTGCAGCTCTCTCTCGGCGCGCAGGGCCGTACACGTTCGTGGGAGCCGCTCCACGTGGGGCGAGCTCTCGGCCGCCTCTCGCGATCGCACGCGTTTCGTCTTTGACGTCTTTGTCGGGCGGCGCGGATATATATATATATATATATAATACGTGTATATATATATATAGAAAGATAGATACACCCCTATCTGTCGGGGGTGGTTGCCACCTTGGTAACGCGAGGGGAACACTACACGAGGGGGAGGGTGCAAGTCCCCGCGAGCGAACGGCGCGGCGACGGCGAGTCCGTAGTAGTGATCGTCGTTGCCCTTTCTCTATCTCTCTCTTTCTCTCCTTTCTCTCTCACTTTCGCGCTCCGGCTACTTTTTTATTTCTTTTATTCCCACCCCGCGCGTTTTTCCGCTCTCCCGGCTTCGAGGTATAGGCGTCGCGCTGGCGGACGCAAGTGACGCACGAGTTGCACAGGAAACGTGGCTTCTCGGGGCAACGCGGACACGACGTTTCGCCGACTCGCGACGGTGGGATCGTTTGCAAGAAGTAACCCGCCGCGATGTGAACGCGGTAGGAGTGTAGGAAAATACGATTCGACGGTACGGATCGGCACGCGTGGGATTGCAATTAAACGGAATGCTGGAACGATCTTACGCGATATGGTGCCCGAGAAGTGAAGTGCGCGACGAAGGAATCGCTGCTGGAAGCGTCGTGAAGTAAGTCGCGGATTCGCGATTTAACCGTCCGGCAGGTAAACGTTCTTCCGCGAACCTTTCGCGAATTTTGGACGCGTAACGTCGCCGTCACGCACGTATACCCCGCGTCGCTCGCATGCAACAGGCGACACCGCGTTGCCAAAGTTTCCTCTTGATTAATCGATCGGAAATTACCGCGTCGAAGTGACGTAACCGTTTCGCAGGACACGAACTGCGGTCGACGCCGAATTCGCGCGAGAAACCAGCCGCGTCGCGCGCGCTCTCTCTCTCTCTCTCTCTTTCCCTCCTTCCCTCGGGAAAATTAATTCGTCGGGCGGCGGAAGGAAGGGTGACGATTGTCGCGCACTTGTACAGTTGTACGTTGTACGCGGAGCGCGAACGAGACGTCGCGAAAGGGCGACCGCGCCGCCGGCGGAACGTTACAGCCGCGAAATTACGCGAAGCGCGGCGCGAGTGACAATCGATACCCGGCGTGAGCGCGAAGGTGTGTAGCCGGGCGGCCCTCGACGGCGGTTGACGTTTCGGCGACGGTTTGGAAAATAAAAAAAGCGTGAACTTTTGGTGCGCTTTCGAGCGGTTAACGTACGCCGCGATCGTGTCCGCTGGCCGGAAAGGCACACGTCGCCTGGCGGTGACGTGAGCCGGCGCGGCGCGGCGCGGTGTGGCGCGGTGCGACGAGGCGCCATTCGCGTGAGACCAGCGGCGAGGTGGCCGCGCGAGAAACAACAAACCACGCGGCACGCGGCCGGCCGAGAAGGGGTGGACGGCGGAGGAAGAGAGCAAACGACTGCTCCTCGGGGGAGGTGCGTGCGTGCGTGCGTGCGTGCGTGCGTGCGTCATGAGAACGCGGCGCGGGTGTGTGCGCGACGAGGCTCCGATCTTCCGGGCCCCTGACTTTACGCCACGGCCGTCGCCCGCGCGCGGCGAGCGGGGAAAAATAGCGGAGAAATGGCAACCCCCTTCGGTGTCCGCGCGTGGAATAGCAATTATCGTCTGCGGCCGAGGAAGAGGTCCAGTTGACACTCGGGCGTGAGTGGTCGACACCGAGAAAAGCGGACGGGAGTGACGGAGACGCCGCGAACGACGCGGGGGAAGGGAGGCGAAGGAGAGAGGAGGAGTGAGGAAGAGGGAGAAGGAGGGAGAAGGAGGGCGGAACACGTGGTCCGCGAGGGAGCAGTCTGCAGGGGGCGAGGTGCGTGCGTGGCTTGGTTACGCTCCTGGCGGCGCACGTGCGTACGTGCATATCTCTGTGGCACGTGTGAGTGACAGAAGTCGGTGAGCGTTCGCAAGGTGAAGAGGTAATCGAAACGACGGCGTAGTGACGCGTATAGCGACCGCGAATTTTATCGCTTATCGCGACTGTGACGCGACTGATGTGTTCGCGATTCTACGGAGTGTGCACACCCTTTTGCTCCAAGATTATTGGTGACGTGCCATGATGTTTCGTGAGAATCTTTCGACAAGAACGTCGAAATTTTGAATTCGCGAACGAGCGAATCCGCGAGAATACCCGTTCCTTCTACGAGGTGAAGTTAACCGTCGGACAGCTCGCGCGAGAGTGTCGCCCTCGCGCTTCGCGCCGTCGCGCCAAGTCGGGCTACGTCCCTGACCCGCGAAGTTCGTCTGTCGACTCCGGTGGTGTTGATTCGCGCTCCGTCCGACTCGCTCTCCTCGTCTCCCTCGCTCGTCCAATCCCCCCCGCGCTCCCTCTCTTTCTCTCTCTCTCACGCTCTCTCGCTCGCTCGCTTTCTCTCCGTCGGACGGGTGGGAGAGTGCTGCGCGCGCGCGCGCGGGCGGGCGCACTCGCGAGGTCGCTTGTGTTTGGAACGTCGTGAACTTTTCTGCAATATGACGACGCGGGGGATGAATGGTTACTAGCGTCATGTCGCAGCAGTGCACGCGCCTGGGAGCGGGTGGGCGACCGGTGTACGTACGAACGCCGGCCGAGGCGTCCTGAGTCGGCGACACGCACGGCCAGGCGGAGCGACGACCGTAGGAAAGATGCCGGCGACGCGACCGCCGCACGACGACGACGACGGGCTCCTGTTGTTGTTGCCGCCGCTGTTTCACCGAGAGGACGAGCTCGCGATCGCGCGCGGTGCGCCGCGACGTACGACCGACGACGCGGCCGCGGACTTCTGAACGAGGCGCGGCGACTGAGTGTGTGTGCCTTCCGCCGCGAAGCCGGCCGGGAACGTCCGGTGCGCGTTTCGTCTACTGGTGCGTGTTACTGGTTTAGGTTAGGTGTGCCGGCACCATAACCTTAAAGCGCGAGTCTCCGGCACGGAGAGTCCGGAGCCCCTGAGCCCCCGCGTCCACCGTCCTGGATTATTATCATTCGCGAGAGAACGATCGGGTACGAGCTCGCGCGCACCTCGTCCAAGTTTCGTGTCCGGACTTCTACGCGGTGGGTGATATCGGTGAGGTGGAATGAGCTGGGTGACCACGGGACAATGAAGGCCAATGGGACAAACAATGGTGATTTTCTTTTACATATGTTTACGTCTGAGTGTGAATTTATACATTTTTCGACTCGGTCGTTACTCCACGTGAAAAGAATGCACTAAACTTTGTGGTAATGCTTGTGGGTTAGAGTGTTGTTTACATAGGATAAATCCTTCGATACTCCTACAACTGTCAAAAACATGAAACACAAGACTCTTTATTATTTTTGCGAGATTCATTTATATGATAGCTCATATGGACTGCTTCTGGTCACTTTTTCTGTCATGAATATGATGCGAATAGGATAGTCTTGAGTATCGATGGATCATCTGATATAAACATGATAATTTAGTTCGTTCTTTTATGCTTACATCAATCAGTAATTAAATCAGTTTATTTATGAATGCTATTGCTAGCATGTATTACTGGTCTACAGGTTAGCTATGAATATTATTGGAGAATGTTATTTGTATGACGTGTATCTCTCTATATTTTATTTTTTCAATGATTTCTTATTATACCTGTATCAAGTTATTACAGTTACATCATGGAATTAATGTAAAGAATATAATATTCAGCGTACATGCTGTGTCAACAATTTATAACTACATTACTCATCTCTTTACAGGCTGTAGCCGCCTGAATACGCCATTGGCAGCCACTACCACGCTGGAGGATCCAGGTACACCAGCCTCCTGGAAGGGCCCGCCGCCCGGTTCGGAGGCATCGCCCTTTACGCCCAATTCCGTCGGCCAGGGTGGTGGTCCTGGCTCGGGTCCGTACAACAGCACGGGCGGTCCACCTAGTAATGCGGGCTTCCAAGGGCCGAGTCCATTTCCTGGCAGCGCCGGTAGTCCAGCCGGGGCACCGCCGTATCAGGGCCCACCGCCCGGCTCGGCGACGCCGCAATACACCGCCTCCCCCGCGCCGAGTGGTTCCTCGACGCCCGGTCCTGGACCGCCGCCTAATTCCACCGGTTTTCCGCCACCCCCGAATAATTCCGGTCCACCGTACAATGGGCCCGGGCCCAGTCCGTTCGGGTCACCCTCCGGTGCGCCACCGCAGTTCGTCGGCCGACCCGGCTCCTCGGGACCACCGTTCGTACCACCTGGTGCCGGTAATCCGCATTTTCCGTCGCACGGACAGCCATTCGGCGGACCACAGTACGGTATCCCACCTGGAAGCCCGTTCGGACCAGGAGGACATCCTATGGCTGGACCTATGGGACCTGGACACCCGGCGATGATGGGACCCGGCGGTCCTGTCGATAGGCTGGACCAAGGGTGAGTTTTGATTCTGATTTATTGTGTATTTTGAACCTGCAAAGCGAGTGATTGTTCTACATCAATATCTAAGTAATTAAAATAATTATCACTACACTGAGAAAAAAATTTTCTATATTTTAGTCAATATTAGTTTGTATACAACTGTGACTTCATTTATTAAAATGAAGTCACAGTTGCATGCAAACTAATATTTACTAAAATGCAGAAATTTTTTTTTCTCAGTGTATTAAAGATACAGGGATTTTTTTGGTACATTTATACAAAGAGACGTGCTTTTTCTATTCCTATGCTGATAGCCTATGCTGATAGACATTGAGATAGAGCTTTGCTCGCTTTGTTTTGAATGTATAATTTATGTTCGGATCACCGATGTGTTCGACACTACGCTCGCGGATGGAAGCGAACGGTTAAACTTTACTATGAACAATAACACACTCAAATATTATTCCTGCGTCGATTGTGCAAATCGCGATAAACTCCGTTATGGATATTAGCGGGCGTTAAAACGTATTACTTTGCATTAAGTTGCATTTTATAATTATATAGAAAACTTTGGAAAAATTTTATGCACTGAGAAATGGAGCGCTATTTGTAGAGAAAGTTGCATGCAGCAGCGGTTACGCTAATGATTATTAATCGTAGTGAAAGTTGCTATTATTCTGATTTGCAGTAATTTTAGGTTAGAGAATGTAGAATATTTAGGAAATATGGACGTAAAATTTTACGATCTGCATTTTAACGTAGCGAATCAGCGGAAACGCATATCTTTTTGTGTATTCGCGATATATATTTACTGGAGAAAATCTATTTCATATTCATTTCTCCCTTATATCTGGATTATTTATATATAGATTATATAAATAATTTACAATCAAATTATATAT